GGCCACCGCAGCCTCGACCTGCTGGGCTCTGGCGATCCTTCCGCCTCAGCCTTCCGAGTAGCTGGAACTACAGGCGCGTGCTACCACGCCTGGCTAATTTTTGATTTATTGTGGAGATGAGGTTTTGCCAAGTTGCCCAGGCGGGTCGCGAACCCGCGGGCTCCGGCAAATCCACTCACCTCAGCCTCCCAAAGCGCTGGGATTACAGGCTGAGCCCCCGAGCCCGGCTAATTCCACTTTCTAATTAGATGATGGCTTCCTTTTTTTTGAGTTGGGGTCTCACTCTGTTGCCCAGGTTGGAGTGCAGTGGCACAACCACGGCATACCACAGCCTCCACCTCCTGAGTTCAGATGATCCTTCTGCCTCAGCCTCCCAAGTAGCTGGGTCTACAGATGCATGCTACCATGTTCAGCTAATTTTTTGATATTTTGTAGGGACGAGGTCTTACTATGTTACCCAGGCTGATCTTGACCTTCTGGGCTCAAGGGATCCTCCTGCCTTGGCCTCCCAAAATGCTGGGATAAAGTCATGAGCTACGATGCTGGGCTTCTTCCTTTACCAGCTGTTTCCTAAACTGGACAAAGTCTGTTCGGTAAATAAAGTTGGAGAATGCTTCAGTCTCATCTCCAGGGTCCTGTCTGAAGCAGAAGCATGTGAGTGGCTCTTAGCCATGGGTACTAGGGTCGGGCCGTGTCCTGTGCATTGGTGGCAGCTTTCTGGACAGCTTGAGGCAGCAGAATGCACACCAGGTCTGCTGTAGAAGTGCCCTTTCATGGAATGGTCTTTCTCGAACTTGCCTTTAGCAAGAGCAGAGAGACCTGGGGCTTGGGCTCTTCAATCAGATTGTAAATCTCCTCATGGATACGTCATCTTCCTTCTCTCTCTGCCCCCGGGGCCCATGCCTGCTTCTTCCCCATTTCCACACTGGCCATCACATGCACACAGTTCCTCCACCTAGATGATTGGCCTCACTCCTCAGCAAGTCCAGCCTCCACCCCCAGTCACCAACGCTGCTAGCTCTCCTCCCTCCAAAACATCTTTCTCCGTGTTCACACTGACATTGTCTTTCTTTTCTCTTTTCTTTCTTTTTTTTTTTTGAGTCGGAGTCTTACTCTGTCGCCCAAGCTGGAGTGTAGTAGCAAGCTCACAGCCACTGCAGCCTCGACCTGCTGGGTTCAGGCAATCCTTCCGCTTCAGCCTTTCAAGAAGCTGGAGCCACAGGCATGTGCCACCACGCCTGGCTAATTTTTTAATTTATTGTAGAGACAAGATCTCACCAAGTTGCCCAGGCTGGTCTTGAACCTCTGGGCTCAGGCAATCCTCTCGCCTCTGCCTCCCAAAGTGCTGGGATTACAGGTGTGAGCCATGGCACCTGGTAACATTGCCTTTCTTGCTTGTGTTTTATCCATCTACAAAATATAAGTTTAAAGGCTAACTTAGAAGATAAAGAAATTGCTTCTAGTTCCATCGTTGGGTGATGGTGATAACCTGGGCTATAACCCACACCTCCTCCACTTTTTCTTGAGTCAAAGTCTCTCTCTGTTGCCTGGGCTGGAGTGCAGTGTTGTGCTCATGGCTACCGTAGCCTTGACCTCCTGGGCTCAGGAGATCTTTTTGCCTCAGTCATCCAAATAGCTGGAACCACAGGTGTGCACCACCATGCCCAGCTCATTTTTTGGATTCATTGTAGAGACAAAGCCTCGCCAAATTGCCCAGGCTGGTCTTGAGCCCCTAAACTCAGGCAATCCTCTCGCCTTCACCTCCCAAAGTACTGGGATTACAGGTGTGAGTCACCGCTTCTGGCTGAGAGTTTGTCTTTAACCAGACTAAGACTGTCCTCATCAGAAATGGGCTATGGTTACAAAGTAGGTGATGGGAGGAACAATCCTGCAAATAAATGAATAATTGAGGAAGATAAAGTAATAACTGGTGAACAGCAGTAAGAGATGAGTCAAAATCTGACAGCATCATTTAAAAGTGACCACATGGCCCCCCGGCCTGTGTTGCTGAACTCTCCGCTGCTATGAGCTTCCTCAAAAGTTTCCCACTGCCCGGGCCGGCCGAGGGGCTTCGGCGGCAGCAGCCAGATACCAAGGCTGTGCTGAACGGGAAGGGCCTAGGCTCCAGGACCCTCTACATTGCTGAGAACCGCCTGTCTTGGTTAGATGGCTCTGGATTAGGATTCTCACTGGAATACCCCACTATTAATTTACATGCGATGTCCAGGGGCCTAAACGTCTATCCACGAGAGCATTTGTATGTAATGGTGAATGCCAAATTTGGAGAAGAATCAAAAGAATCTGTTGCTGATGAACAAGAGGAAGACAGTGATGATGATGTTGAACCTATTACTGAATTTAGATTTGTGCCTGGTGATAAATCGGCATTGGAGGCGCTGTTCACTGCCATGTGTGAATGCCAGGACTTGCATCCAGATCCTGAGGATGAAGATTCAGATGATTATGATGGAGAAGAATATGATGTGGAAGCACATGAACAAGGACAAGAGGACATCCCCTACATTTTATACCTATGAAAAAGGATTATCCCATTTAACAGCAGAAGGCCAAGCCACATTAGAGAGATTAGAAGGAATGCTTTCTCAATCTGTAAGCAGTCAGTATAATATGGCAGGGGTCAGGACAGAAGATTCAATAAGAGATTATGAAGATGGGATGGAGGTGGATACCACACCAACGGTTGCTGGACAGTTTGAGGATGCAGATGTTGATCACTGAAAATGTTGATCATGGCTTTAAGATTCTGCTAATAACTGTAGGAGAGAACTTGGTGCCTCTTCCACTCTGGAGTGGGGTTGATGACAGTCTTTTTCTTTCTCCAAAACTCATCTGAAGCAGTTATTTCTCGAGACATACTATATTGAGACAAGTTGTCACCAGCAGAAGATACTATGACCTTTATTAACAAAGATGAATTAACTTAACCAAGAGGGTATTTGTAGTTTATTGTTTACCCCAAAACTTTCTGTGGCTAGGTACCCTCTGAGTAGGCCTATACTTCCTGCCTTCGCTGTTTGCGTCTTCTGTAAGCTGGCAGGCCTATGTGGTGAAAATGCCTAGGACCTTGGAGGTGTAGGTAGACTGGGAAACAGGTTGAAGCGAAGATATGCCTTTTGGGGCATGAGGGGACTCATACCCATAAAAAGACAAATCTTAGAGGAATCCTGGCCTCTGCTTATTCTCCACAGAGGCAAGAGTCTTCTACTAATTTGGGGCCCACATGAATTAATTCAGGCATCTCTAGGTAGCCTCTTCAGAAACATCTCCACCACAAATACTCCCACTGACTTAAGTACTTCTGACTAGCTTTTGCTTCTTTCACGTTTCACCAGTCTGCTCTGTTATAGCCTCTTAGGTTATATCTTTTTTTTTCTTTTTTTTTTGAGTTGGAGTCTCACTCTGTCGCCCAGACTGGAGTGCAGTGGCCACTCCCGGCCACCGCAGACTCGACCTGCTGGGCTCTGGCGATCCTTCCGCCTCAGCCTTTCAAGTAGCTGGAACTACAGGCGCTGCGCTACCATGCCTGGCTAATTTTTGATTTATTGTAGAGAAGAGGTCTCGCCAAGTTGCCCAGGCGGGTCTCGAACCCTCAGGCTCAAGCAATCCACTCACCTAGGCATCCCAAAGTGCTGGGATTACAGGCTGAGCCATTGAGCCCGGCCAGGTTATATCTTTTAATTTCTAACCTCTCAGGTTAGTTTCTGTAACAGAACAAGTGAATCTGGGATGAAGTCCTCAAAGTACTTCAAATGGTAATTGTTTTGCATTTGTAATAGCTTAACAAATAAACCTAGGTTTTCTACAAAAAAAAAGTAAAAAGTAAAAAAAAAAGTGACCATGTTATAAAAAACAAAAAAATTAAAAAATAAAAGTGAGCCAGGCTCGGTGGTTTAGCCTGTAATCCCACGCCTTTGGGAGGCTGAGGTGAGTGGATTGCCTGAGCCCGCGGGTTCGAGACCCGCCTGGGCAGACGAGACCTCATCTCTACAATAAATCAAAAAATTAGCCGGGCGTGGTAGCATGCGCCTGTAACTCCGGCTACTTGGAAGGCTGAGGCGGAAGAATCGCCGGAGCCCAGCAGGTCGGGGCTGCGGTGGCCGGGAGCGGCCACTGCACTCTAGTCTGGGTGACAGAGTGAGACTCCAACTCAAAAAAATAAAAAAATAAAAGTGACCAAATTAGTCAGGCACAGTGGCTTATCCCAGCACTTTGGACAAGCAAGTCAGGAAGATTGCTTGAGCCTATGAGTTGGAGACCAGCCTGGGCAACATAGCGAGACCTCATTTCTAAAATAAAAATAAAAGAATTAGCCAGGTGTGGTGGTGCACACTTGTAGTTTCAGCTACTCAGGAGGCTGAGGTGGGAGGATCACCTGAACCCAGAAGGTCGAAGCTGCGGTGAGCCATGAGCATGTCACTGCGCTCCAACCTGGGCAACAGGGTGAGGCTGAGGCAAGAAGATGGCTTGAGTCCAAGAGATTGAGATCAGCCTGGCAACATAGAGAGACCTTGTCTTCACACACACACACACACACACACAAAATAGCTGGGCATGGTGGTGTGTGCCTGTAGTTCCAGCTACTCAGGAGGCTGAGGTGGAAGGGACACGTGAGCCCAGGAGGGTGAGGCTGCGGTGAACCATGATTATGCCACTGTACTCCAGCCTGAGTGATAAAGTGAAACCTTGAGTCAAAAAAAAAAAATTCCCTTCCCAAAACCTCCAACTCCTTCCTTTGATCTGCAAAACTTGCTGTGTATCTCAAACCGCATAGACCATCCCATTGAATGTCATTACCATTGTTTATGAAGGCTACTCTTATTTCCTCGCTCAATTCCCCAAGAGCAAGAACAGAACTGCAAGTCTTCTCTTTCCCAAAACCCCCAGCACAAAGCTGGATACAAAAACCAACCTGCAGCATAGAGATGACGGCAGAAAGACACTGCTCCAGACAGCACACAAAACTGTCCCTCTTCATCACTGCCCTAGTCACCGTCCCCCAAGCCCAGTCCCGTCCTCCCCACCCCTGCCCCACCCCACCCCCACCCATGGCTTAGCCAAGAGTTATAAACTTGTCTGTGGAAGTTACTCAAGGTAGTAGACATTTGTTGGTTTTTTTGACTTGCTCCAAATCCATTTCTCCTGCCAGCTCCCACCTCTAGTTTGGGATTTGGGATTTGGGAATCCTCCCTGCCTTCACTCTCAGTCTACAGGGTTCCTTAGAACTAGGGTAACCACAGCTTTTAATGTTCACATTAGGATGCTTTTGAGAGTAAAAGGGGTTCTGTTAATAATTCTACCAGACCCATAGGTGTAAGCCAGAATCATCCTTGGCAAAGTGGGACATTTCGTCATCCTATTTGTAGTTGACTCCACAGCCAGATCCAGCAGCGAACTGTGGCTCCAGTCTGTCCCATGAGAACCTCACATTCCACAGTGACGGGTCAGAGATAGGCACTTGACTCCGCAAAGCCAATCAGAAGCCAGGAGCATTTTGCTGGTGCCTTTGGGATGACGCAGGTGCTTGATTTGAGCAGCATTAAGGCCTGGAGCTACAACAGCCACTTTGGGAGCCCGAGGGACAGGCTTGTTCTGAGGATACATCCTCTTCCATCCCTGTCTTCTGTGGCACAGGTGCAAGCCACGTGGAGAAGCCACAGGCAGGCCCTCTGGTCAGTGGTCCCAGCTGGGTTTCCAGGCCACCCAAGGGAAGGTGCCTGCTGGACATTGCCCTGTGGAAGGTCATTAGACGTGGCTGTTTGTCGGTTTGGTTTTTCTTCGTTTTCTTTTCTTTTCTTTTCTTTTTTTTTCTTTTTTTGAGTTGGAGTTCATTCTGTTGCCCAGGCTGGAGTGCAGTGACACACTCACGGCCACCCCAGCGTCAACCTGCTGGGCTCTGGCAAGCCTTCTGCTTCAGCCTTCCAAGCAGCCGGAACTCAGGCGCGCGCTACCACGCCCAGCTATTTTTGATTTATTGTAGAGACAAGAGCTCTCCAAGTTGCCCAGGCTAGTCTTGAACCCACGGCAATCCATTCAACTCAGCCTCCCAAAGTGCTAGGATTACAGGCTGAGCCACCAAGCCTGGCCACTGATATTTTTGATTTATTGTAGAGACAAGGTCTCGCCAAGTTTCTCAGGCTGGTCTTGAATTCGTGAGTTCAGGCAATCCTTTTGCCTCCACTTCCCAAAGTGCTGGGATTATAGGCGTGAGCCACCTTACCCAGCCAGGTTGACTTCTATTGTTGCAAATGACAAGACTTCTTTCTTTTTTATCGCTGAATAATATTCCACTGCACATATATAACATTCCACTGTATATAGAGACCCCACTTAAAAAAATCTATTCATCTGTCAAGACTCAGGTTAATTCCAAACTTTGGTCATTGGGAATAATGTCGCAGTGAACATGGGAGTGCAGATGTCTCTTTAACATACTGATTATTTCTTTCAAGTATATACTCAGAAGTGAAATTACTAGATCACATGGTATCGCTATTTTAAAAAAATTTTTTTTAGTTGGAGCCTCATTCTGTCGCCCAGGCTAGCTTCAGCCTCAGTCTTCCAAGTAGCTGGAACTACAGGCACAAGCTACCATGCCCGACTAATTCTTTGATTTATTGTAGAGACGAGATCTTGCCAATTTGCCCAGGCTGGTCTCGAACCCCTGGGTTTAGGCAATCCTCTCACCTTGGCTTCCCAAGGTGCTGAGATTACAGGCTTGAGCCACCCCGCCCAACACATGTTTTTATTTTTTATTTTTTTGAGTTGGAGTCTCACTCTGTCTCCAGGTTGGAGTGTAGTGGCACACTCATGGACACTGCAGCCTCAACCTGCTGGGCTCCGGCATTCCTTCCGCCTCAGCCTCCAAGTAGCTGGAACTACAGGCAAGTGCCACCCCGCCAAGCTAATTTTTTGATTTATTGTGGAGATGAGGTCTCCCCAAGTTGCCCAGGCTGATCTCAAACCCGTGGGCTCAGGCGATCCTCTCACCTTGGCCTCCCAAAATGCTGGGATTACAGGTGTGAGCCACCGTGTCCGGCATGCCCATTTTAAAATATTTTGGGTTTTTGTTTTGTTTTGTTTTGCTATTGAGTTGTATGAATACCTTATATATTTGAGGTATATCTCTAATCAGATATATGGTGTGCAAATACTTTCTCCCACTCCGTAGGTTGCCTTTTCATTTTGTTAATTGTTTTCTTTGCGTGCAGAAGCTTTTTATTTTTATTTATTTATTTTTTTTATTTTTTTATTTTTTTTGAGTTGGAGTCTCTGTCGCCCAGACTGAAGTGCAGTGACATGCTCACACTGCCTCGACCCGCTGGGCTCAGGTGATCCTTCTGCCTTAGGCTTCCAAGTAGCTGGAATTACAGGCATGTGCCACCATGCCTGGCTAATTTTTTGATTTATTGTAGAGATGAGGTCTCGCCAAGTTGCCCAGGTGGGTCTCGAACCCGCGGGCTCAGGCAATCCTCTCATCTCGGCCTCCCAAAGTGCTGGGATTATAGGCGTGAGCCACCGCACATGGCCCAGAAGCTTTTTAGTTTGATGTAGCCCCATTTGTTTATTTTTAGTTTTGGTGTCATAAAAAATAATTGCGAAGACCAACATTAAGGAAACTTTTCTCTACATTTTCTGCTAGAAATTTAATGGTGCAGGGGGTGGTGGCTCAGGCCTGTAATCCCATCACTTTGGGAGGCAGAGGTCAGAGTATTGCCTAAGCCCAGGGTTCAAGACCAGCCTGGGCAACTTGGCAAGACTTCATCTCTACAATAAATCAAAAAATTATCTGGGCATGGTGGCGTATGCCTGTAGTTCCAGCTACCAGGAAGACTGAGGTGGGAGGATCGCCAGAGCCCAGCAGGTGAAGGCTATGGTGATTGTGAGCGTACCACTGCTCTCCAGCGAAACTCCGACTCATCAGGTGTTCCGTTTAAGAATTTAATCCATTTCAAGTTAATGTTTATAAGTGGTATAAGATAGGTGTGAATAAATTGTTTTTTTTACTCTAGGAGTGGTGGTTCAGGCCTGTAATCCCAGCACTTTGGAAGGCTAAGGGGGGGGAGATTGCTTGAGCCCAGGAATTCAAGACCAGCCTGGACAACATAACACGACTTTATCACCACAAAAAAATTTTAAAATTAGCCTAGCGTGGTGGCGTGCACCTGAAGCCCCAGCTACTCGGGAGCTGAGGCAGAAGGATCTCCTGAGCCTAGGAGGTCAATGCGGTGGTGATCCATGATCGTGCCACTGCATTCCAACTTGAGTGAGTCTCTGACTCAAAAAAAAAAGAAGACACCTAAAGCCAAGACTTAAAGTGTGAAGAAATGGTTTGGGCCAGGGTGGGAGGAAAGCAGGAAAAAATGTTCCATGTTAGGGGAATAGTATGTCTGAAGGAAAAGTCCTGGCATTTGGGGGAAATGAAAGAAAATGCATGTCTGAAATGTCGGTTAGTGGGAGTAGCCTGGGGAGAGGCTCTGTATGAAAAAAGAGAGGCAGCCGGGCTCGGTGGCTCAGCCTGTAATCCCACGCCTTTGGGAGGCTGAGGTGAGTGGATTGCCTGAGCCCGTGGGTTCGAGACA